ATTCTGGATCATTTCTACTATTTCATCAATAGATGACATCCTAATTTCACATTTTTCTGGGAATTTTCTGTTATTGTTCTTGCTGTTTCATCAGTAGAGGCCAATCCAAGCCTAGGTTTGTCCTAAATCAGCACCTGTATGTTATTTAGCATAAATTAGTGGAATATCTAAATAGTGAGTCTGTCCTTGAATGTTTCTTTCTAGGGCTAGTGCAGACCCAGGCCTTTACTCTGTGGTCACTGATCTGTAGTCAGGCACTATGGTATTCTGCTCCTCCCTGTCCAGAATCACCATGGAGAAACCACCATGGGTTCCTGTGTCATTCCAGTGGCCACCCACACCATCAAACTGTCACAGTGAGAGACCACAGTTTGCTGGGAGCAATGCAGCACATGATAGGTTCTAAGCCTGCCTGCTGCTTAGATGGATTCATGACCCAATCTTACTACAGTCAGCCACAGGTAATGTTGGGCAGAATAGAAATCTGACAGACTGGGGCCAAGTTTCTGCATCCAATACCCAGGCTGTTCCAGGGACTCTGTCCACAGGTGCATCTAGGACCCCAAGGCCAAGTCCTGTAGTAGCTTTCATCCCATACTCCCCAGCAAGTGGAGTCTTGCTCTCCTCCTTTGCCTGGAGTTGGAGACAGAGTGATACAGGCAACTCTATCCTTCTCCCTTCTTCATACATGGTGTCTTTTCTTATTGTACTAAAACCAAGAACTATCATCTCTTTCCTGGTTTCCTTAGTTCTTGTGACAGTAATTTGTTCTTAAAGGGCTGTTGAAATTGATGTGTCCATGGGGAGACAATTACTGAAGAATGTTAGCCACCATCTTTGATGCCATTTTATTTAGCCTAAAGATATAGTTTAATATAAAAAGAATGGCCAGGCCGAATGCAAACAATTCTCCATAAATAGTTTAAAAAATTTTTTTTAATTAAATAACTTATTATCAAACACACATACAAAAAATTAAAACCACTCAAAGAAGAACAATGCAAGAGGAAAAAACTATAATAATATTCCAATACAGTAGAACTCAACCAAAACAAAACTGAAAAGCACTTAAACATTTTTCCATACAACTTAGAAAAGCATCTCAAGCACCAACAAGACACCAGAGGACGTGATTTATTTCAGAAAGTTCCCCAAAACCAACATTGAACAAATAATGATCTGGGAAAAAAACTCCAGGTAGTTAGCAGACTCTACATAAGCCAAACTTCTCCCTAATTTAAATTTCGATACAGTCATATGACATGCAATGGAAACACAATCTGAGAAATATGTTATTAGGCCACTTCATCCATGTGTATCCTTAATTACACCTTCAGTTTCTCACACTAGAGAAACTATTCGGTATTTACACATATGTGTCCTATTTATTTCACTTAAGAGGATGGCCTCAGTATGCATCCATTTAGCTATAAATGCCTGTAGTTTCTTGTTCTTTATGGCTGAGTAGTATTTCATTTTATTAAAAAGCCACATCTTCTTTATCCAGTCTCCAGTAGATGGGCACTTGGGCTGTTTCCAAGCTTTTGCTATTATGAACTGTGCAGCTATAAACATGGGTGCACGTATATCGCTGTGGTAAGATTCTTTTAATTCTTTTGTGAAGATACCCAGCAGGGGGATACCTGGGTCGAATGGGACCTCTAAGCCTAGGTCTTTCAGGTATCTCCATACTGATTTCCACAGTGGTTGCACCAATCTGCACTCCCACCAACAATGGAGAAGGGTTCCTTTCTCCCCACACCCCTGCCAGCATTTGTTATTAGATGATTTCTTAATAGCAGCCAT